CGTAAAATGAAAATTATTCATATTTATATATTTTCTATTTATAAATTTTTATCATCTAGGAAAGATGACATAGAACGTTTACGTAAAGATTTTGGATATATGCAACGTTCTATGGCTGCTCCATCATCTACAAGAGCAGTAAAACAACAAGATGTTGATTATGTATGTATACATTTAGTTAAAGTTGATTTTAATTATTTTTTGAATATTTTCCTCAATAGGAAAATATAACACATGAAATTGAGGAGGTATTTAATTATGTGTTTTTGTTTTCGCATGCACTTGATGCATGTTTCCGTGTATGTCACAAAAATCCAATATTAGATTATATGTTCCAAACTACTACGTAGATTAAGTTAAAGAAAACATGAAAACAAATAATGAACGATATTAACTACATTAAGAATCTCTCTGATTAATTTAACTCTGATACGATTAGCTGAGAGTTTGTGCAGATCTCAGTCAATTTCATGAAACTATTATAAATACACAATATCAGATGAAATTACTCATCTGCTAAATATGTTCTAGTATAGACGATTCAGATGTATATGTGAACTCTTGTTGATTAGTTGGGGTTAACTTGGACGGCAGTATGAGATTCATTGTTGTATTATGCATCCATAACATTTAATAGAATCATTTTCTTTTTGGCATGCTCACGAGGAGACCACTCAACATGATACCTTAGATTTGATATGATATCCCAGTCAGTATATATGAACTTTTGAAACCAAAATGAATCTAGAAAGGTTCTTGTCCATGCGCTGCCATTTTGCAGTTTTGACCATTATATGGAAGTTTTTAGTTTTGGCACGGTATTTAGAAAAAAAAGCTGGTAAATGAAATTTGATCGAAAAATTTGTTCATAGACAGCATATGAAGTTATCAGAAGCTCCTAAAAGTTTCAATCAAAAATAGTGGTCTTTTCTTGACGCATCGAATCCAGAAAAAAACCACGTTATTCCACCAAAAGAGCAAAAAATCTAGTTCTTTATAGATTTGATTTCTCGAAAAGAGATCACTCTTTTTCGCTTAAATTTTTAGTAGATTCTAATGACTTCCAAAGTTGTCAATGGACAAAATTTTAGATAAAAATTCATTTGTCCAGTATTCTTATGAATACTACGCCAAAAATTTAAAAAGAACTCAGTGTAACAGTCATAACTACAAAATGATAGCGCATGAGCAAGAATTCTTCTACATTTCTTGTAGTCTCAACAAGCCCTATATAATGACTGGGGTATCATCTCGGATTGTTCCCTCGTTAGTATAGTAAATCGACGATATCAGTCATTCACATACAACTGTTCTTTTTTTATGTAGAACAGTGCAAAGTATATGTAAATGGTGATGCATGATTTCAAACTACATAGGGAGATCAGAAAGTTCTGAGAATTTTAAAAAGGAGTGTGTCGGATTCGGTGACCTATTTAGAATTATAAAATCAAAACATGTCATTGTAGAGCAAGTCGAGGCGCGTCGAATGGTATATAACAAATCTTGTTTTCATAAAATTCTGAGGAAACCAGACTGGATTTACTGGTAGGCGACTATCAAATGAAAGCAATGAACATTGTGGACCTTGGTATCAGTCGAAAGTGTTTGTAAAAATACCTTTTCTATATACAGTTTTGTAGCACTTTTCATGAGTTGCAAGCTCATATACTCAGCATCTTCAATCGTTCTATCTTTGATAGAGAAAAATGCGACTTTTCGATGATCCATCATCGTTTTACACGGGTAGTGGCTGTCGGTGAGTCTTTGGACCCATGAACGTCTACTAGTAAATCCAATCTCTTTCCCTCAAAATCTTATGAAAACAAGATTTGTGGTATACCATTCGACGCATCTCGGCTTGCTCTACAACATGGTGTGTTGGGTTTTTTTAATTCTAGATAGGTTACCAAATTCGGCATGGTCCTTTTTAAAATTCTCAGAACTTTTTGATCCTCCTAGTACTTGACTGTTTGTTCTATTTGTAATCAATTCTTCACATGTCTAGCATAAACTAGTAGTAACTTTGTGTAGGGTTAAGTGAAGCTGAGAAAGTTGATGTAATCAAACAAATATATTTATCTATCTGTTTTTCAATAATTTTTTCTATCAAAATAACAAACAAAATAAGTTACTACGGCCAATTCGTAATAAGTTTACAAATGATTTTGTTTTCATAATTGTGGATAATTACGCTTATCAGCACACTATAGTAAACTGATGTTTGTCTATGCATGTATGTAGTTATATTGTGAAGTACGTGCTTTACGTGAAATGAACGAAAATATTCTTGCTCATCTGGAACACCGTAATACAAATGTTGATAACAGAAATTTAGCAATAACAACAAATCATACCGCTCAACCATTATCAACATTTTGGAACAATCGTCATCAAATACAATAGAACGAATAAAAGAAACAAATTCTAAAAAAAATTACCTTAACATGAATGTATTCGAAATATTTGAGTAGATATCCTGTTTATGATAGTAATCACTACCTTACCCACCCTATCCATTTTCTTCATTGACATATCTTTATTTTTGACTATTCAATAGCTAATACCATCCCCAATGCTTTAATTTTTGCTTTATAGCGACCGCCGCCATTACCAAGGCCTGCATCGAATAATGAAGTCGATCCTGATGCTCCAGACGAATAATTAACTCTTTCTTCATCCCTATCCGTCGAATATTAATATATTAACGGTAATTAATATATACATGTGTGTACTAATATAATAGATGGCTTTGTTAATGATTTTATGTTTTATAGATTAATCATAGTTATTGATGTTTATGTTTCATTTAAATTTATTTATTTATTTTTTCTTTTAGGTGGATATTTTTGGATTTTATTTTATTGAAATACTAATACCTATGAAGACAACTAATAAACAACGAATTGTAGATAATTCTCACTACTTATAATTTTTTAGTTCTATTTTAATTGCTTTTGTTTTTATTGTCCGGTGTTTGAATTATATAATTAAAAAAGAAAAGAAAATCGCCATGCGATTTCATAACATATTATTTTGGTTATATTTATATTAGATAAACATAATCATGTTTATATATTGGGTAATAGATAGTTGATTAGATTAAAATTAAGTATTATAGTTTTAAAAACTTATTTTAAAGAAAAAATTGACTCAATGAAAAGCCAACGATCTCGTATTACTATCAATCATGCATAATTTTATATTCAACAAAAGAAAATAATAATTTCGAATTGGTACTTGAGCTATTCCTGAAGTATCATTGAATCAGACCAGAGTCAAATTTCAAAAATGATTTTCTACTAATAATCTTTTAGTACTGAAAGTCAAAATTGGACTTATTGTTGACAAGTAATGTTTTGATCTAAAAGAACCGATGGTCAATCATCATTAACAATAATAGAAAAAAAAAGAAACATCAGCTAAAATCATTGTTCGGAAATGCTCTTCTTCCAGTTTATATACATTGTCAAATAAAGAATGATGCAATAATTCATAATTTAATCTGATTATCAAATCATCATTTATAAGGATGTGAGACCATAGGAACACAGCTGTTGCAAATGAAAAGTAATTTAGATCATGCATCTTCTTTAGAACAATCAAAGTGCACAAGTATTTGTAAATTATTTTTATAGATGAAACCATGTTGAATGATTATTAGATTTTCAAAAATGTGATTGATTTCTTTCTTTTGCCTTTGTTAGTTGTTTTAATACAATGTTTGAATTGTTGTATAAGCGAATTACTTTCGAAATATTACAAGTTAAAAAGAATATGTTTAACATAGATTTGCAGGAATGTTGTGACTAAGCAAAAAGGTTGTCTTTTTATCTTTATGAACTCATGAAAATAAATTCAAATGTCTACTTTATTATTAAACTATTTTTTACATTACAAAGGTCAAGTATTAATAGAATCATCTCATTAAACTCCATTGTTACTTAAAGTTAACTCTAAAAAAACAAATCAACTTATTTCCACAGAGCTTGACTGATGAAGAACTACTATGTACAGTTTAGCAATAGTACAATCTGACTTATATAAAGGTTTATAGAATCTAACTACATTAGAAGAATAATATAATTTTATTTTTGTTAGAAATCAAAATCAGTTAATCCACTAATAAAAATTCAACATAGCTTCTACAATGTGATGAAATCGTATGGGAGCAATATAACTTCGTCGAATGCACTAGTTTTATTATTATTCAGTTATCTATTGCTGCTCTAGAAACTCATAATCTATATAATATTGAATAAATCTGATGTATTGTTTCAATCATCTAGGCAAATTCGAGCGACATCACTTTCATTTATCTGCCTATTCATATTGATGTACATATATATATATATATATACATCTTGCATTGTTCAATTGAGCTATTATTTGTATTGGTACATTAAAATTCAATTCATTTCGAAAAGGTGACTTCATTCTGCTTTAAATTTCGTTGTAATCCTTATAATAGATTTAAAGTTATAATTATTTTCCTTATTGTATAATATTGAAACATTGGATTCTTTATTTGATATTATTCGTTACAAGAATTTTCTTATTCTTTAATTAAAACTTAGTATTGTTATGCTTTGCTTTGTATAGAGTATATGTTTTTTTCCTTCACGAATATCACAAAATACATTCACATATGTATCTTTCGTTTCATCATTATTTTTTATACTCGTTCTCTCGTTAATAAATAGGAGAAAAATATTCTTGGTCCTTTTTTTTCTCGCTATGAGTTACACTCGATATATCATATAAGCTTTTTTGACTTCGCCTTTTTTTTTCTTTTTTTCGTTCGTCTATTCGCTTGACTGAATCGTGTTTGTCGTCAATATGAATACCGATCACTAAAATAAACAAATGATATTTTTCTTCTTATTACTGTACAGTTATTTTTCTTAGTATTTATGGATTTCGCTTGAATATTTATATAGATCATTTTTATTCTTTTTATAATTGTAGAACGGTTTTTTTTTGTTGTACAATTTAATAAGACAATGCATTCGTTCATTACTACTTTATCTGGCTTTCTTGTGATCTATGCAGTAGTGGTAACAACGGGTTAGTAAAATGAGGTTTTTTTTCTTTTCATAAAATTATATATTACATTTGATGTTCTAGTCTATTGTGTTGAAATCAAAGGTACGGGTTTAACAAAAAAAGAAATAATTGCGTTAACACGTGATCATTTTGGACGACCTGATCCAGATGGTTTATTAAACGGTTTTTTTCCTGTTTGGGCTGTTATCCAATTTTGTCTTTCGGGTAAGTTATTCAAAAGTAAAAAAAAAAATAACAACAAATAAAAAGAAATAATTTTTTGTATTAAATATTTTAGGTTTCTTTCTTGTTATTGCTTTAATTAGTGGTGTATGCTATTTATTGGGTTTCAGAACACCACCAGAAGAAAGACAAGTCAAGTGAAATCATAAAAACATGACAACTATTTATATTTTCCATTATAACTAATAACTATTATGAAAAAAATTTCAATTTGTGTATTAGTCTGATTAATGTAATAGTTCATTCGTTTCTTTTTGTGTGTTTTCGTTTTCATTTAGTAATTAATAAATATGGTGCGGATTCATATTGTGTTGTTGTTATTGTTATTTTTGCAAGTATCTTCATTGAAATAAAATACTACTACTATAATTGATAGATTCTGAATAATTTGATCTGTTCAATGTATATTATAATCAATAGAAAAAGTACATATACTATTGACAATAGTTATCTATTTGAACATATACTAGATTTCTATATTCTAATTAATGTTTGAAAAATTGTTCATTATTGTTTGTTGAAATCATTTTTTGTCGATATGCTTTTAGACGAATTTTGGAGTGTAGCTGAGTGCAAATCTTAATTCAGTTCTATTTCGTCGATCAACATCCGAGTCTTTCGAAAATGTGTTGACATTCCGGTCCATCCCTCCATGTATTGCTCTTGTCATCAAATGCTTTATCTTGAGAATCAACTGAATTATTCCTTTGTTTGCTACTCATTTGTTTTTTCATAGTGTCGTTAATGCAAATAAACACATATGCTACTGCGAAATATCACGATTCGTGGAATTCTAAACTGCTATAGTAATTACGATGACGGTCAATAGTCATTATTGCATATCATATATATTTTATATTTACATTTTATTTCTGTAGAAAAAAAAAGAAACAAAAATATTAAACATACTTCTTTTATATATTTACAAAACAAGCTAAATCTACTTTATTTAAGCTCGATATGACCAAAACAATCAATTAAAAAAATCTAAGTCAAACTGAGCATTATATAAGAATTAAAATGATTTTGTTTGCTTTGTTTGTGGTTTTTTTATTGTTACAAAGTTCACACAAAAATATAATGAAATTAAGTTGTTTATTTATTTATTTCGTTGAATGTCAATAATAAGAGAAACTAATCGTCGTCGTCGTCTTGTTAATCTTAAAAAGATTTTTCTATATGCATCACGGAATTTTGGTTGAATAAATGGATAGAGAATTGGATTGACAGTTGAATTAAGCCATAGAAGCCAAAAAGCAGCTGAATATACTTGTCCATTTGTATCAGTTAAAATTTCTAATGAAAAAATACTTCCAACAACAACAACAACAACATAAGGCAATAAAAAAATCATGAATACAAGAACAAGTATAAGAAGTGATGTTGCTGCACGTTTATCTCGTCTTAAACGTCGAACATTACGTTGTTCACCAGTGACTGAATTCATATTTTTACTTTTTGTTGCCATATTATATGAATTATAACGCCATGAAAATATAGACCGATGTTTTTCTCCATCTGGTTTCAATGGTAAATGAAATGTTTGAGTTGATTTTGATGAACGACGATCATTTAATGGCGAGTCCAATGATATTGAGGAATTAAGAAAAACATGTTTAAAACGTGTATAAATATTTGCTGTTGATGATGATGATTGTTTTGTATCTATTTCTATTGGTGGTGAACATGGTAGAGTTGGTGGTGACGGTAAAGATTCAACTATATCATTTTCAATCATAGGCTCGTCAACTTCTTTGATAGTCGATGGAATATTTCCATAATAATTATCATTATTAGCCTATTATATATGTATATGAAAATAACGAAAACAGAATTCTCAAATATATTAATCCCAAGAAAGAAAAGATAAAATATTATTCATATAAGAAAAAAAAACTTTCAAAATTGTACATAAGTATCTAATCATATATTGAGAAAAACAAAACAGACTTCTATTTAAATTCAATCAAAGTTATATCTATGTCAAGATTAATTGTGAATGATGAATGAAAGCAAAATAATTGGACTAATCTAACTAACTAATTATAAAATAAATATTCATCATGCCTTAGTACTTTCGTTAATAAAAAGAATCGTGATTTAGATTTTGACTGCTTTGCTTAATCCAAGATTAGACGCCAACGTGACATGTATTTTTTTAAACAAAGATAAAAAAAAGAAGAAAGAAAACTTCTTATCACGTTCATCTATGATATATCTATGATAAGAAATAGACTTTTGATTAACAATGACCCTTGAAATCAGATGACCCGTAATATAAGATTTATTAGAATTCCAATAAATATATCTAAGATTTCTAATTAAAAACGGGGTCCAAGAAAATATTTCTCAAAAAATACATTTACTTATCTAGTAATATTTAATCAATAGCTATTCACATGAATTAATTACCTCTGAATTCGGTTTTTGCAACGTATAACAATTGCTTTCATTAGCCATTGATACCACAGTATCATCATTTTCAATTGTTTGTCGACGGTTTTCGTCAATACTTTCTTGTTTTAATTTTTTCCCTATAGTATTTTTTCGATGTTCATAAAAACTATCATAAGCTGGAAAACGATGTGATCGTCGATAAAGATTAACAACAATTAAAGCATTAAGTATAATAATAACAACTAATGGCCATGCAAAAAAATTTATTTGAGCAATTATTAAATATATTGTATGTGAATGATAGGCACCAATACATTCTGAATGATTTTTTTTTGTTGTATTTGTTGTACGAATATCTTCATGTGATTCAAGAAACCAAATACCAGGTGCAAAATTCACAAATGGAATAAGCCAAATAAGAAGAGAAAATATTCTTATACGAGCTTTTGTTGTATAACGACGATAATGTACACTGTGATTAATACTCCAATAACGTTCTATGGTGATAGCGACAATTGATAAAACACTAGCCATAGTTGCAACATCATCAATTGTTAACCATATTTTACAAAAAAATTGACCAAATGGCCAAACATTTTTTATTTGAGCATACCTTTTTTTATAACGAGAAAAAACAATTCAAATTGTATTTTTTTCGTTATTTCTTTTTTTGCTTTGTAACTTACGAATAAAATGGCATTGCGATAAGACCTACAAGAAGATCAGCAATAGCCATTGATAAGAGAAAGTTATTCGATGGTGTTAACAAATGTGGATCATTGTAGAAAGCAAACAGTACAACGAGATTACCACCGATTGTTAATAATATAATTAAGATAATACCAAAACAAACAGATACAAGTTCTATTGTTGTCCACGATATTGATACCATCGTTAAAGAAGAGAGTGTATGAGACTTATGTTCGTATGTATGTATTTATAGATATATATATTCTATATGTATATGTATATATATATATATATATATGCTACTTCTTCTATACTCTGTCACATCTGAAACGAATGGATGTATGTAAAATAAAATTCTACAATAATATTCGAGATGCTGATTATCAACTTTCAAGTGGCAAGAAGAAGAAAGAACGAAGATTGAGAGGAAAAGAGGAGACATGAAAAAAAAACGAATGTATCCTATTCATCTTCATCATCTTCGTAAATAACTGTAGTTAACGAGTTGGATCACTTGAACACGCAATGTTATTTTGGGCTATAGCATTGAAACAAGGATGAGCGATCGGATAGAGAGAAAAGAAAAGGACCAACGTGCTTCAGTTGTTTTTTTTGCTTTGATTGATTCTCCAATTTTCTTCTTCTTCCCGCTCGTTTCTTTTTTACGGCCTCTTTCATTCATATCATTATCATCAGATCATTTATTTCTAACTACAATAGAAGAGAGACTGGGAGAGCAAGATAAAGAAAGAAAAGAATAATGACGGAAGCAACACTGAACTCAATTTAAAGGGCACATTCTTTTCTACATATGTTATAACTAATAAAAACAAAATCGCGTATTGTCTTTATTTTATGATAACGTAAAAATCAACGGATCATGGTTAACTATTTGTTAAGTCTAAAAGTTAATAGAATATGTTGCCATGCTATTTAATTCGAATCAATACCAACTTAGCAAGGGTGTTTAAAAGTCAAAAAAAGTTCTCTTTTTAAAGACTTACTATTGCTTTTTCTCTTATAATAAAACTATTTTTATCAATGACACAATTAAATCAGTCTAAAAAAGTATAAGCCTTATTACCATGTACAATAGGACAGTAACTAAAAATAAATGACGAATTTGATGAAGTGTCAAAAGTAGAACTTACTACCATGTTTACTATTTTTGAGTATATTTTTTTCTTATGATTAAATATTATTGGCTATTTATGAATTTTTTTTTATTATACTCACTGTCATTGCTGTTGATGACAGATCCTTCAAATACGACCGACTGCGTTTCTGTTTTTCTTTGGTTAATCGCAATTTGATGACACAGGATAATGTAGCTTTCTAAGGTTTTCTTTCTTTTATCTTCATTCTTTCTTTCTTCTTCTTTTATTTCTCTCTAATCGGTAAATAACAGAAGATGCTGAAGAAATTAGAATACGCATTTTCAGTAGACCGCATTATCTAGAAAAATCTCTTCCTTTTCTTTTTTGCCATGCATTTTATCCTTATCGATAAACTTTTCTTCTCGTTTCTATTTTACTTATTTTTATAAGCTAATAAAATTTACAACAATAGCTTATTATACATATATATAGTTATTTAAAGATCAAAAATGAAAAGATATCTACGTACGAATGTTTAAGATTAGTTAAGAAAAAGAAAACTCCTTGTAATTCAAATGACTAAAAATATGTTGTATCTACATTTTAATATAACATTTTTCTATTTCTTATATCAAAAGTCTATTTTGATTATTAATTGTACTTCAGATTAATGATAGATATTAACAAAAGTTGTAATAACAAAACATGAAATGCAAATTATGATAGATGATAGATATCACAATATTATTTTCTTTCTTGAATTAACACAATTATATGTTTGAAATGTAAGATGCCGGAAGTGCAAAATTAAAGCAGAATTTTTTTCGGTTACTTTGTTATATCGTGATATAGAGCATGATGAGCTAACCAAGAATATGCGCGTTTTCAATTTGTTGGAATGATTTGGTTGTAAGAGAAAATCTTCAGTTTTGTCAGGTGACCTGGTTTTTCCGGAAAAACAGGTCAATTTTCGATAATCGACAACTTTTCAATAATACCTTTCTTCGACTTAATCTTTCACACTAAACTAGAAACAAACAATTTTGAAATGTAAAGAAAATGCACCAATTAGAAATTCGTCAATTACCAAATATTGACTTGTTTTCCAGACAGAACAGGTTATCTGAAAAACTGAGAATTTCTTTCTAAAAAATCATTTCAAATAATTGAAAACGTATATAGTCACATTCAGCTTATCACGCTCTATCTGATTATGTATAAAGCAAAGAAAACAAAAATCTGATTTAATTAAGTATTTGCAGCAGCTTACATTAATATTTCTTGTGTGTTATGTATGCTTAGAATTTTGAGCTAATCTTACACATATAAACAGTGACACACGAACTTATTCGACTAGGCTTATTTTCAACTTTTTTTCAATATCATTAACGCTAATAAGAATTAAAAGAGTGATTTGTGTAGAGAATTTTATTTTCGAAAATAAAAATGATTACTAGTTTTTCAAAGATAAGATTTCTGACAAGCCAAAACTTTAAAGTTTTTCATTTCCTAGAATTCTATTTGACTTACCTAGAATGATAGAATAAACATCTTCCGGCTCTTTAGAACGGTTTTTATTTTTAACCGAGATACATTAATCTTACGGAAAGTCCAGAAGTGTTTTTTTTTCTACTATTTCATATAGAAACATCATTTTTGTGCCTTCCGTCAGGTTAATGTATCTCTGTCAAAAAAACACATCGTAAAGTGCTGGAAGAAGTTTCATTTTCTAGAGAATTATTTACTCCGTGTTCTTCGATAATTCCGATAGAATTCTAATAGATGAAAAATTCTGTTTCTCAAAGAATCTATCTTTGAGAAATTAGCAAATATTTTCATCTTCAAAAATAAAATTCTCTACATAAGTTACAAATTGGATTCTAATTAGAATTGACGGCAATGAAAAAACAAATGCCCTCACCGAATAATTTTGACAGTCATTGTATATGTACACACGATTCTAACTACATTCTTGCATCATTAATGATGTTGACATTGTCGGATGTCAAAAATAAGAATAACGCAAAACCTCGTTTTTACTTTTATGTTAAGTGGCATTCTTATAAAAATAAGATAGGAGACGTGAAAATTACTTCTCTGATTATATAGTTGTGCCTCAAGCAATACACATTTAATGACTATAGAAAAATAATATGAAAAATAACTCACATTGCAATTATAAAAACGAAGACATCAATATTTAATATAGTTGTTTTCTTTCTATCTTAAAGAGATAATAAGAAATAAAATCGGTTCATAATCAAGAATATCATAGACGTAGACGAGAAAAAAAAAACTTTTAATTTATTTTTTGACATATTTTTGACGTAAATGATAAATAATTATTGAAGAAAAAAAAATAGAAAATATGGAAATGCTAATACTTTTCAAAAACAATAATCAATTATATGAATCTTCTTTTTTTTTCAAGATGAGATTATTATAAAGAATAGAAAAATCTATTCATATCTTTTATGCTTATATTCATAGTGACTTTATTGCACAAATGAGATGCGTATATATATATATATATGGGCATGCAAAAAAAATAATTTATTGTTAATGTAAAGTGTCATAGTTCGAAATAGTTAGATGCATCAAAATAGAAAATAGCAAATATAGGATGTTGATAAGAAGAGTCGAACGATCATATGTAAGACGAAAATAGTTTTCGAAGTTCTTATGAATTTGAATCAAGCTTAGCTTTAGTTGAATTCCTGAGCAAAAAATCAATGATGCACTTAAGGGTAGGCCAAGCGAGGTGTCGCCTTTTTTTTCTGACTGATAGTCTTTGCTTTATCAGTAGAAAAAGAAAAGACTAATGATTGTCATCATTTACGCTATTTCGCATGACCTTTTCAAAAACTCATCTGTACTATATGTTACCATTCACGATTTTTTGATTACTCAACAATGAAAATTGAAAAAAAAAATTTCAAAATAATCGATTATTGCTTACTATATAAATTTTCAGTTGGGATAGAACATAACAACCACTTTTTACATGCATCATTGATAAGTATAAGTATTCAGTTTTGTTTCTTAATTTATTCAAAGAATGTAACGATGCGTGATTAGAAAATATTAAATTCTATATAATTTTTAATAATTACACTGTGCATAAAATGTATCAAGTGTAATCAATTTGTTGATATTTTAGACAATATCATTACTGACAAAAAAAGTAGACTGTTTGAAATATAGGGTACAAGAATGTAAAATGTTGCAAAAATATACTGAGAATATGAAAACAAAATACACTTCATTGCTTTTTTTTTCTACGTCACATAAATGGCACATTATACCAAAAAACCCACTTAATGGAATATTCAAAATTATTTAGAAAAATAAAAAAACCAGTTCTTTTTGTTTTTTTTTCTAGAACATTATGTCCTATGTTGATGCTGATTTTAGGTCAAATAAACAATAACTAGAAATGTGTTTAAAGCAAACATTTGCTTTGAATCTTGATTAAACATAGCTGTTGAAAAAGAAACCGACGAAACGAAAAAATGAATATCCGGTTACTAATAATTGTTTATTATTTTTAAAAATATTAATGAAGAATCTCTTTATCAAAGAAAAAAAAAATACTATAGACTTCAAAGAGATATTTCTAGGGTCGGGATCTAAATATTCTTTTTTTTGGATCGAGATAGATTTTAATATTAAATATTTATGAACATAAATAAAATATTAAAAATTTTCTCATTTTCATTAAATAATTATTTATATTTTATAATAAATTTTTGTTCAAAAATGCTTCTTTATTTTGCTTTTTTTTAAGAATAAATCAATGATGTTCTACAGTAGCGAACAACAACATTATTGCTGCCATGACTGGATAGAACGAAGAAAAAAAACAAGAAGAACGAGAAAAAAAAGAAGATGTTCTGTGCAGGTGTCGAACCTGCGACCTTCTGCGTGTTAAGCAGATGTGATAACCGCTACACCAACAGAACTCTGATGTCTACATCTTATTTTTGAGTATATAAAGAGTTGAAAAATAGTATCATGATATTTAATCATATCATTGAATAGAATTCGATTGACTTGATGTTTCTGTTGTACTTTTTTCGACTGGAGTTATATTCGACGTTGGTTCTTTGATAGGATGTAATTCATTTTGTTTTTTATGTTTTCGTCGTCGTCGTCGTCGTATAAATACTTTTATGATACACATAAAAATCATTGAACAAATTAAACTAAGAAAAATAATAATTACTATTTCATGTGAAGAAACATTCCGTTTAGAAATGTTTTCATTATTTATTGATGTATTAGATATAATTTCATATATATCGAATATATTATTTATACTCTTCATGAATTAAAGATCGATGAGAATATTAATAACCGTTTTGTGCATCGTTTAAAAACAAAATCTTCTATTCGATATTTTAATTGAAAGCAGAAAAAAAATCTTAAGCGCTTTTTATAGACATTCGATTAATATTAGATATTTTTAAATGAAATATAATGACAAAAAAAAATGAATATTCTACTTCAAACATTATTTACAATTCTTCATTGTAGTAAAAATCTATGTTTAGAATGTAGAAGCGAATTTGCACGAGGTTCTACAATAAATTTAAATTTTATTAAATGAAAAATTCAAAACTCTCGTCATTTAAGGTTGAACAACAAGAAGTTTGATACATGTTCGTACTATGTTAATTATTTATACAGTTTTCTCATACGCAAGACCATACACTTAGAATATTTGAAACTTGTTTATTGTTTTTTCCATGTTATATGATATATCTTAAACGTTAGCATTTATTGAGAAAACAAGATGATATTTTTATTCTATTTAGTTACGCTAAGAAAAATACGTTTCATATATACAAAATAATAAAAAATTCAGATTCAAATCTGAAAACTATTCGAATCTTCGAATTTTAGAAATGAATCATTTATTATAATATAAACGCAATTTATCAATAATTACGACTTGAAATTTTTTATTTTATTTGAATGAAGAATATCAATCTTGTTGAATAGACTCTATGCACTTATTATTCTTGTAACACACCATTTTTTACTGTTTAGCTTTTTTATTTATAATAAATCAAAGGAAAGAAAATGACGAATTATTCTCTGTGTTATTATTCGTTACCATATTGAAATCAGTAAAAAAAGACGAGGCTCCTCTATTTTTTCTTATTCTATAAAATACGTATCACATTAAAAACAGACATACGATTGCGTTGCTCAATTGTTCTCGAACTGTTTTACCCTGTCGTTTTTTCATTCAACCAATGAAGAATTTTCAAAGTTTCTTTCCAAGAGAACTCACGATAAAAAGCAGTGAAGGTGAATGCGTACACATAATAGTCACATTCTTTTCTTCAACAATCATTATATAAAGAAAGAATCATTCCTATAAATAGTGATGTTTTTCGTTTTGTAGTTTCATTCATTTTTTACTTTTTCTACAACTCTCGTATTTATTCTTACTATATAAAATATTTTAAATATTATCAATATGTCTGAAGGTCCAAGACAATCTGGAAATAAACAACCTGGTGATTTACGACCAGAAGATCCATCTCATCCAGGCATGCCAGCTGATTCAGCTGAACGAGGCAAGCAACTCGGTCATGAAAATGCTCATGGTGGTCAAAGTGTAGGCACAGGCGGACATGGTACCAGTAGTAGTGGTGCTAGTATGTAGTGTGATGACTGTAAATTAATAGTTTTTAAATTCTTATATACATTTATATTTATAGACAGTAATCAACCTGTTGGTGGAAAACATGTATCAGATCTGTCTCAATTCAGTGAACAAGAATTACATCCTGGCATGAATCCTGATCCTACTGAACGAGGCAGACAACTCGGTCATGAAAATGCAGATGGCGGTCAATGTGTAGGCACAGGCGGACATGGACCAAGTGGAACCAATTTCGGCAATTAAATGAAGATGACAAACAGACATTAGTGTATAACAAAATTTATTTAATTGACAAAAGAGTTTTTTTTGCTCATGTTATGCACATTGTATATATGATTTTTCTTTTTCTTTTTAATTTTTTTCATTTACAAACGAAAACAAGCGTATGCATAAATATCACTTACAGTATGTGTTACATCACCTTGGCTTTTTTTTTGTATTAATTCTGTTTTTGATAAATTTGAATTCAAATAAAAATTAAAAATTGAATATAATAAAATATCTATGAGAAGTTTAGCATCGTCAGACAATACAATCAGCTATGATTTGGCAATAAATTCAATAAATATATCATATTTTTCCAGGAATGTTGTTTTTCTTTTTTATTATTTTTATCATTGTTAGAAAAAAAGATACGAATTCATAAAATAAAATATTTATCTAAAATTACAAGTTATCATTCGCTGATCCAGATTGTGAAGATGTCTTCGAAATATTTTCTAGAAATTTTTTTTTTATCAGAAAACTCAAAATAGCTGTTACAAGACCAGCACCGATTAAAATAAGTAACAAATATAATGGATGTTTCCAATACGACCAAATTTTTGGTGAAAAAAAACCAAAATCAACAAAAACAAATGCCAGTAAACCTGGTATAACTTGTACAAATAAAATACGAGGTGATGCTGTTATTGCACCAAATATACCAGCCGTAAATATAGCCGCCGAAAAAAATAACATTCGATCAGGATTTAATTCTGCTAGTCCCCAAATAAGGCCAGCAGCAAGAAGCAAGTTATAAAAACCTTGATTAGCGGCTAAAGTGGCGCCAACATCAACCGTTGACTGTGGTAACCCAAATGCTTTAGTTGCTCGTTTTCGCCAAAGTATTGCTTCTAATATAAATATATAAATATGTATCACAGCAAGAATACCACAAAAAACACAACCGGTGATAGCTAGACCACGAATATAAGCAATGAGTGCCATATTCTTTTTTTTTTGATTACGTATGTAAAACGACAAATAACTAAAGCAAGAATAAAAAACGAGTATCTGCTGTACGTGTTTGATAAAAATCAAAGAAGAAAAGATTTTTCTTTTTTTTACCCTCAATATTGACATTGATATGCATATGATGTAGACACATAGGTCAACATTTTCTTTTGCGTTCGAAGTTGACTTGATATGTATCTGATAAGATTACTCTGTATATATTCTAATCAAGTAAAACGTTTGTGCTCTATCAATCATTTCATATAGAAGTATAGAATAACAGAAACTCCGATTTATTTGATCACCTGCAATAGATTTTTTATCATAATAAGATGACAACTTGTTTTCTATTGTTGCAAACATATGACAATTTAATTTTCAATCTATTTATTAATATATATTTTTTTTTCATTAATGAAAAATTCTCTTTAAAATATTTATTTAAAATTTAAAAAAGAATACCAAAAAGAAAGAGAAAAGAAAAACAATTATTTTTTGCCAGCACATCCACCCTGACCACAATTAGTAGTTCCACCACTAATGCAACTTGGGCATCCTATTGAACCACCAGGATTTGTTCCGCTGTTACTACAACCTGGACATCCTACTGAACCACCAGGATTTGTTTCGCTGTTAGTACAACTTGGACATCCTACTGAACCACCAGAATTTGTTCCGCTGTTAGTACAACCTGGACATCCTACTGAACCACCAGAATTTGTTCCGCTGTTGGTACAACCTGGACATCCTACTGAACCACCAGGATTTGTTCCACTATTAGTACAACCTGGACATCCTACAGAACCAACATTAGATGATAAACAAAACGAGACTATTTATATTTAAGAAAAATAATAATTAGACATATTTTACCTGGTACATACGTTAATGGTGTTCCGAAACAATGCTCTGGTGTTCGACCGCAACTATGTAAAAAAGATAAAATACGAGTTATTGGATTATTGCTATTCAACAAAAAGTTTTTATATACAATCCAAATCTTGAACAGCAAAGACCAGGTGGACATCCTGTTTGATGACAATTTCCTTGACCAATTGTTGGATCAACATTACGACAATGCTCAGGTGTCGTTCCACAACTATTATATCCAATAACAAATAAGAATTATCTATATTATATTGAATTGTTTTCTCTTACAATCCATGAGCACTACAACATTGTCCTGGTGGACAACCTTGAGTTTTACAGTTTCCATTAGTTAATGGTGTATTATCACAATGTTCACGTGTATTTCCACAAAAACCAAATTTCGAACAACATAATCCATTAGGACATCCTCTTGTTTGACAATCACCTTGTGTTATTCCTCCTTGACAATGTTCAGGTGTTGCACCACAACTAAATTTATAGAAAGAAACATTAAATAAAATTAAAAAAAATTATCTTTTCTAAAACTCTTTACTATCCATATTGTGAACAACATTGACCAGCTGGACAACCGTATATAAAACATGTTCCACAACATTGTGATCCACCTAAATTTTCAATGATTGTAATAATGAGTAAAACTTTATTAATTAACAAACTTTTTCCTGTGATATTTAAAGCCATAGGTTCGACAAATGAAACCATAATAAAGATAAAAATTAAACTGATCATTGTTGTATACGAATAAACTGATTTCAAGTGACTAACATTTAGTTTTTTTCGTTTTCTTATATATCGACTTATTATTAACGAAACGATTAACTACACGAAGAAAAAAATTAATCCGACCTTTACAATACCTTGTCATGTATTCTTTCCCATATAATTTAATACCCCACCAACGCTACAACAAAACTAATTCATTGTAGGAGAAATCATGATTAATGCACTTTTTATCTCTTTTTCATTCAATATTGATCGATATCATAAGAAGATAAAATCTACGAAAATGTCCTTGTTCGTGTTATACCAGATATATATGCAAAGTCCCTCGTTAGTGTGTAAGTGTGGAGTGCATGTCTTCCAATCAACTATACCCACATTCTGTTATTTCCTACGGGTATATATGCGCATCTCTCACTGTTTTTCATACAATACGGTACTTTTATCTCGTCGATGGAGACTTTCACAAAAAACTATTTTCGACGATTCACTATTTTGCGCTTTGCCCTCTTTTTCTCCATCAAACCAACGTAATTCCCATCACCCTCTGCATTAGCATATTCATTTCTCCACCATAACTATCATTCTCATATTCTATCAAGTTTTTTACATACTACTCCTTAATCCTACCACACTTGAAGAACTTTAAAAGCGATTAATAGCGTCAAAAGTATCACACTAAAAGGTACTTAGGCTAACCTCTGTCAAAACCAACTGTGCTAATTAAGACCAAAAAAAAGTGCCAATTTTCGAGAATTTCTCCAATTTCAATGAAATTTTTATTGAAAGTAGATCTTAGTGAGATATATCAATCGTAAAGTTTTCAACTCCAAACCACTTGAAACAATCGAGTTATAAAACAGATCATGATATATAGAAAAAAGAAATCAAAAAATGGCATTTTTAATGAGATTCAAAGAAGATTATCGAAGTCGCTCATTTCAAAATGTAATGAAATACTTTACACATAGACAAGTAGAAAGTTCAATAGTCTACAAACCACAATAATTGGATGTTTTTTTATAATGCTGTTTATGAACTGAAAAATATGTCGAAATTTACTAAGTTTAAAAGTTTTACTAAGAAATTTGCATCTTTTTTTCGAAATTCTACTTTTTCGTGTTGCAATCATATCTTCATAAGGAAGTCATATCGCATCATCAAACTATTACAAAAGCAATGCCATATTCAGAACTATTAATACACAAAATTTCAAGAAAAATAACTTTTTTAGAAGTGATAGACATTCACTTCAACATCGAAGAATCACATCACACATTAAATTGTTGTTATTCATAATAGGAATGTTGTCATACTTAAATGTTATTGTTTAGTAGAAAAAAATCTTATTAAGACTCACTATGACGATTAAAGAGTATGCCAGAGTATTCCATTATCTTTCTTATTCGCCAAGTTCAACTGTTTCTGACGTAAATGTCGAGTTATTATATATTTTTCACAGTCATTGAAGGAAAAGTAGCTTCATGTGTTTGTGAAAAGTTCGAACACAATGAAGAAAAGCTATAAAAAGTATGCCAAGACCACTCTATTTGAGAACTGGTTGCACATGGCCGTATTCATGAAATACTGCAACTTGCTACTTATGTCAGATTTGATTAGAAATATGCTTTGAATAACTACCAACGTCAATTTGTTGCAAAAAAAGTTAAGAAATAAACACGATTTATTACATCATCGCATTAGATTGAAACATCATAGTTTGCTCAAGTTCATAACAATGGTAGAAGAAGAGTCTCTAAATGATGATGATAGTTTGTTATTTCAACATCTTGATAACGTCCCATGACCAATTGCCATATCATGCAAACAATATGAACTCATAAAAGGTGTTTCATAAGTTTCGAACTT